TCGCCTTGAGTTGCCCAATAAATCCTTTGAGCAGATCCTCGAATAGCAAAGACAGCAGCTGGCCGGCCAACTCCAAACGCTTGTTGCCGACGAAATCACGGTCGTCGACCAGCTCGGGATTGTGAACGGCCATCAGGATGCGCCGCACCATCATGGCGATGTAGATGGTCTTGGGATAAAAGTCCAGGTCCTTGACGGTGACATGGGCCACAATCAGGTTGGAGAGGGCATCCAAGCCTTCCTCGATGGGGTTGCGCCGTGGTCCAGCAGAGAACTTGGGGCTTGGCTTTTTCGGGCCGCCCATCTTGACTCTGGCACCCACATATTCCAGAGCCTGTTGCTGCGTGTAGACGCCAGCCTTTGCTGCGTCCTCAAAGTTGATGAGGAAGTCGTCTTGGTATCTCGAGTCTCCTCCCGCCACCAGCTCCATGATGTCGTAGTCAGACAGTCCCCCGAGGGCCTTGAGAACGATCACGATGGGAATCGCCTCGACGAGAATGTTGTGGGTGAGAAGGATGCGGTCCTTCTTGAGAACGACGTAGGTCTTGGACTTGCGTTCGTGGGTAGAACTGGTGACCGAGGCCTGCACGCCACCCTTGTCGTCCTTTTCCACAATCACACGGTTCTTGCTGAGCTGTTCCTGAATCAAAATGACCTTTTCTGTGCCGCCGACAATAAAGTAGCCACCCGGATCCAGAGGACACTCGTTGAGCTCCTCCATCCTCGCATTATTGGCACCGTTGAGGTAGCACTTGGAGCTCTTGAGCATGACGGGGATGCGGCAGAGCTGGACATTTTTGCGGATATTTCTGACGCCGTTCTTGGGGTAGGCGATATCGACAACGACGGGGGCGGCATAGGTAGCATCGCGAAGACGGCACTCCATGGGCGACACGGTTGTCGAGCTCTGCCACTGGAGCTGCGAGTTTTCATTTCTCGTGGGCTTGCCGACGCGGATGTCGGTGAACTCGAGCCAGAAGCTGGGTTCCTGGTCGCATCGGATCACTCGGTTGGCCTCGACGATCTTCTTGATGTCCTCCTCGACAAAGTAGTTGTACGAGTCGATGTGCTGCTTTACCAGCCCCTTGACCTTGAGGAAGGCGGGCAGCAGCTGGTACTTGTCCTGCTTGGTGTTGATGGGATCCGTGAGCCGTTTGCCGTTGTAGAAGGGCTCCAGCAGAGCCTCGAAGCCATCGTCGACGGCTGCCGAAGGCATCTTGGTCGTGTTGTGCTGTTCAACCGTGACCGAGACGCTGAGCAGTGTGTGTATAGTTAGTGGTGTAGTGAATGTCAAAGGGATCTGCTCGTGACTCTAATAAACTCTAGGTAATTTTGCCCCGCGGTGATAGGCGTCGGCCTTTTTCTTATCGCGATAAGGAATTGAAGAAGAGGCAGGGTTGGCGACGACAGGGAACCGCCAGGGGTGGGTGTGGCTTGGCACGTTTAAAGGTTGCTCAGGGTTCATCCCACCATCCAAGAATGACAAGCTCTTTGCTATCAACGCCATGGTTGGCGACACGGGGCTGTGGAAACCGGTTAGAGTTCCCGACGTGTTTTCTCTTTTCCACAGCTCGTCCGCGCAAAGATGGATTGCATACCCGGCGCAGGCAGGTCGATGTGCTGGCGACAGAGCTGCATCTGGATTCCACTGGTGGATTCAGGGGCAATTGAGGGTCACAAGTCACCACGAGAATTGTAGTTGGCAAAGGCTTTTGTTATGGGCAGTCTTAACTTCCACTGATGATTATAGAAGTTCAAGAGCAGTCTGGATCGAATTCCACATTCGTCGAAAACTCACCGCCTTTTATTTCTATAGATCGGATAGAGTTCCTTCAAGGGTGGGGGTTGCCCTTGAGGCTGACGTAGGTCATCCGATCCTCCTCTTCAAGGTAAGGGGGTAGGTAGGTAGGGTGAGGTAAGCTGAAGGTGAGAGTCCAGTTATAGGGTTAGAAAGACCCCTTTCCAAGTGCCCGTTGCGGCGCGGGGAGTTGGCGGACTTGTTGGAGTACAAGGTATTTTCGAGGTCCAAATCTCCCCGGAAAGGCATACCGAGACACTCAAACAGCACCTTTCCGATGCCTCAAAGAGGTCTGTGTCTGTGATACCCTCCAACTTTTCTTCTTTTCCATCGAGGATTCCTCTGTCGGGCAGGTGTGGGGCATCGGTCAATGTCATTTCTCATTGGTCAAGCTGAGACACAATCGACGAGAACACTACCCACACCCAACAACATGGCAGCCAGCATCGCCGAGAAAAAGGGGGTTGGGCTGTGTTGTGTGTTGTTGTGAGATGTCGACATCGGACAGAGCCCATCTCCACCTTCGATTACTTGCTTCCATTGCTGCTGTTGCAACGGGATGCCGGCGCGAGGACACTTCGAAGAGGGGGTAAGCGAGAAGTGATCAATGCCTCCCCCTCCTTCCCCTTTTTGAACTGTCGAAGGAGCGGGGAATCAATCCCTTGAGGGGCGGTCCTAGCTCAAGCCGTCACGATCTCGAACCCCGCGGACGAAGGAAGGACTCGGGGCGAGGATGATGACAAGCAGCCGAGACTTGGGTTGTTGTGAGCAAACAATCAGATATCAGAAAAAGAAGGGACGAAAACTGATAGATATCCGATACTCCGTAGATGTTTGATGATGATCGGATTCCATCCCATGGCAGTGGTCTCGCTCACCGGGGGGGGGGGACATCACCCGGCTAAATAACTTGCCCCCCGCGCCCGCTCGTTGATAGCGTACACAGTACACTACCACAAGCTACTGTGGATACTTGCACCGTTGATCACCACCTGGATTTTGGTTGAAGCTCGAAATATGCCGGCCTCTTCCCCAGACGGCCACCTCAGCCCAACGACGGAAGCCGGCCTTTTGAGTAGCGGATGCAAGGCAATTGACTTTGGCACCTGTGTCAGTTGTCACTCAGCTCATGTATGTGAGCTGCAATAATCACCACCTAGAATGGTCTACTACTCGATTCATCGCCACCGGCATATCGCCCACACGCCACTTATCGATATTGCATCTCACACCACTGGTCCCAGATATGGTTGAGCCAGCGCAAAAAGCCAAGCATAGCTCCATATAAACCTCCCAGATCCAAGGGTTCCAACCAGTCTTGTCAACCGACAATAGCAGCGAAGTACACAAACAGGGGGGTGGTCGGCACGAAGTTGGGGAAACAAAAATACTTTGATACCTTCTCGTTGAGGCAGTGTTGGCTGAGAAAGTGACTGCAGGCCCGTATATCGGCAACCCGTTTTCCCATCACACCTTTCTTGCTCTTTCTGCCGCCCGTTTCCCCTCCCCCCCCAGAAAATGCTCACGTTGTACACCGCTTGTTTCCCTGATCGCCTGTTCTCGGCCGTGGTGTAGTGTAGGTAGTAGGTAGGAGGCGAAAAACTTACCACGACAGAAAAAGCTGAACGGCCTTTTCTCTTTCTATCCTATGCTCTTTTGAGAACGGGACAAGACACATGAAATAGGGGGGGGGGGGATGCCCCAATGAGGTGCCATCGCTTTTGGGGATTGACACACTCCCACCTCGCCTCCCGTGAGCAGCGCCAGTCCAGCATCCCCGGACCATGCATGTAGGGAAGGGAGCTCCATGTACTGTACATGCCTAGCGTGCGTGACTGTCTCCTCTTAACATACCGTAACCACCATTGTCTCTCGAGACATGGTACATACAATTTGACAGTTTGACCCCCAATAAAAGTAAGTAGGTACTAAAGTACTAGGAAGGGAGCTTCGGGCAGCAAAAAGTGATTGCTCCAAAGCTAGGATGGAAGGGTAAGGTACAAAAGTACATACAAACTGCTACTCGGGACGACACTATCACAGAGCCATGAAGGTTGCCTTTCGTTCGGGAGCCACCAGCTTTCTCTCTGGCACCACGGTCCGCTGCGAGCGTTTCAACTTGTTGCTCCTCTCCATCTCTGCCCGCCCGGCCTCTTCCCTTTTTTTTTTGTTTTTTTTTTTTTTTGTTTTTTTGTTTTTTTTTGTTTTTTTTGTTTTTTTTGTATTTTTTTTGTTCTTTTTGTTTTTTTTTGTTTTTTTTTTGTTTTTGCACACGAGCCGCTCTTTGCGTGTGGTTCCAGGCTCTCACCCTCACAGGCTCGGGTTGTTTTCTAGTGTGGGATCCCCAAAGTGTTAGTGCAAACGTGCAGGTGGTGGGACCCACGGCAGCCCAATCGTCAGGGTGGGGATGTCTTAGCGTTCGAGGGGGACGAGCTTGGCTAACCAGACCCTTTACTGGACAGCAACGCCTCTTTCCGCCCTGCCAGGGGTGACTGGCCTGTCTGCCACTGTCTGGTCATCCATCCCCATAAACCACAACCTCCTCCACCACCTCACCCCCAACGACGAAGCCGGCCCGTTTCCACACACTTTCCCTGAACACACGTACCCACGCTCTTTTGTACTGTGCTTCAAGACCAGTCTTTTTTTTGCTGCTGCTCCTTGGCTATTCCTATCGTGTGCCAACAGATTCTCTAAAACCAGGTCAGTGACTGTGTCCCAGAGTGCGTGCGCGCGCATTGTCCCCTCCGCCGTCTGTCTGCCGCCCATCGCGGAACACCACAGCCGGCCGGGCGCCGCCGAGGGAGGGGAGGGGAGGGAAGCAACCATCAAGCGGGGAGAGTGAAGAGGGCTTGAGGCAACCGCGAGAACTGCAAGCCGACGTATTCTGCGTCTATCTCACATCTGGCCGCTCAACAATTCAGCCCTTGGAAAGCTTCCTTCAAATCGGTGAACCTTGATGCCGTCCTCAACCGAAGCCTCGTCCCAACAGCCACCGCCTCTCTGCTCTTCCAGGCTGCTTGTGAATGCGCGCGCATATCCACTTACTACTTGCCCCATACAGCCCCAAGTGCTCATGCCCCCCCGCATCATGACAAGCCGCTGACCATGCCTCCTCGTCATATAGACTTATAGAGCAAGATTCCACCGTCGAACCCGCCTAGCCGTGTATGAAAATTGGTGTGGTTGTTGTTGTTGTTGTATGTACCATAGGGCGGACGAGATGGACGACTATTTCCGGATCCAGCAGAGTTCTCGGGGTGATTCGCAAGTGAACGCGACATTGGGCCTTGTATCGCCTTCTCGAAATCCTCTTCTTCCTCGCCGGTTTACTGCCGATTCCGGACGTGTACCAACATTGTCCACTATCAATACCATTCAACCGCCGCAAACACAGCAGCAACATCAGCGGGTACCTGAGCCGCAGGACTTTGCTTCCACTGCGGTACGTGTACCCCTCAAATTTCTTGGTTGGTGGCTTGAGAAGAAAGGGGTTGCGTTTGAGTTGATTACGCGCCCCCTAGGTGGATTTGGAGGGTTATCTGATTGAGTAGACCTTGAGCCGTGGCTGACGCTTTAAAAAACAGGCTATGCACAAAGTTCAACTGGTATGTTGAAAAAACAACAGAGTTTCCTGCTTTGGAAAAACATAACAGGGCAACCTGCGGACCTGTCAGCCGTGGCAACTTCATTGCTCCGACTTCCTCACCTCACCTATCTTTCGTCGTGGGTGGTGCCGTTCTGGCGAGACAGTATGGCTGACTTTTATCTTCTTCTTCAACAGCTAGAGAAAAAGCGTCAGGACTACGAGCGCCTACGAGAGCAGCGTAGGCGCTTCGAGGCAGAAATGCAGAAGCTGGACGCTCAGACAAGGCTAGAGGCACAGGAGCTTCAGCAGATGACTGAGGATATCGCCAAGAGACTGGGGGCCGGCCATCAGTCAGAGCCGACGACGCCTCCCGAGTACCGCGAGGTGAATACATCCTTGTCAACCATCTGGTCGACATCGCGGCCAAACCGGTACTCGACCTCGAGCCTGACATCACCCCCGGGCCTCTACAACCGACCCAACAGATCTGGTTCGCTGCTGACATCACCTCAATCCGGTGGTGGTGCTATCCCGGCCCGGTACGCCTTTGACGACCCCTTGTCCCACTCGGTGCCTGGATCCCGTCGCAACAGCGACGAGGACGACGAGAAGGAGGAGGCAGTTCGCCAGGATCCCACCAGTCACCGCTCCACCAATCAGTAAGTTCTTGTCTTGGCTTTTCTTGCTGGCTGCTCTTCTGCCACTGCTTCTGAATTATCCCTGGGTGTCGGCTTTGGCTGTGTACTGCTGTTCGAAGTGTGAGAGGAGGGAGACACAGCTTGGGGGTCGGAGATGTGTACTGCAGCAACACTGAAGCTCGGTGTTCTCTGCTTGAACTGCCAGCTTGTCAGAGGTGAAGAAGCGCTCGGGCCAACTGTCGTTGCTCCTGCCGTGGTGAAATTGGTGTATGGACCAGAGCCCCCCCCTTCTCGCCGCCCATTACCGCCCTCTTGAGTGATCTCAGCAGCTGGTTGCAAACAAGCAGGGCCGTTGGTGGTTTTCTGGAATAATTCCGCTTCTTCCCACCCCAGCAACTCTCTCTTCCTCTTCGCAACACCTCACGTCGCCGACTGGTTGATATTCACATCATCCATATCAGTACCGCTTGTTACTTGTCTTTCACCACAATCCTTTTGTTGTTTCCGTGTTTTTGTGTTTGCAACATTGTTTTTGCTGTTCGCCGTGTCCCGTCGCTAACTCGACTCACACTCAGCCTCAACCGGTATTCTATGCCGGTGACCAAGTCTCGAACCTATCTGGGTGATTTTGAGGACAGCAACAACACCACGGGCTTCCTCTTTGGAGACGAAGACTCCCATCTCGAGGATACCCGAACCACTCCTACAGCGGAGGCTTTCAACACGATCTATCGCTCGCAAGCCTATTCTCAACTGGTGAGTTACCTTGCCCCGACCTTCTTCCGTTCATCTGAATCGCCTCGACTTCTTCACCCATCACCCATCTCTCTTTTGTTGCGGAGAATTGGAAGGTCACAGGGCGAGAATGACGTTAGCCAGCTCGCTCTTGCCGTGAAGAACTGTCAGGGCTTGTGAGATGAAAATTCTTTCTTCTCGCTCATTTCCCGGCCTGAGGTTAATAGGCCGACCTTCTTGTTCTTCTCCTCGCCCCTCACCTCTCCCCCAATTCACTCTCAATTATTCACTCCCATTGAACAATACTTCCGCTCTCTTTCCCCACTCTTTCATCTTCATCGCGATTTCTTATAGCCACCTCGCGACTCCGAAAGGATCAACTGTTGCTAACCTTTTTTCACCCAACAGACCTCATCTGCTCTGGATTCTGAACCCACCTCAACCAGTACTTGGAGTAATCTTACCAAGCATCAACAGCGACAAAGCATGTCTACCATCGGTTCCAACGGTCTCAACGGTGCCGGCCCGGTCGGTTCCCCTCCTTCGGAGCCTGGTACCATTGGCAGCCGCCCGGCCAGCATCCGTCACTCAATGGATGGCATGAAGTTTATGTCCGAGAGCGTCACCACGCCCTTGGACACTCCTGCCTCTGTTGTTTCCCCTCCTGCCGCCCACGCCGTGGCCTCGCCCCCCAAGCTTCAGCAGTCGTACTCTGCCAACGACGTCCCGACCATCAAGACCAATGGCTCGACTCTGGGTGCCAATACCAATGTCCATGCTCAGCAGCATTTCCACAACCACAATGCCAGCTTGGGACGCTTCCCTGCCGGTGCCATGAATCGCCACAGCCAGAACATGTCTGGTGATGTCCGCGTGGCCAACGGTCATGACATTGCTGCTGGTTATCCCTCCATCTCGTCCACCCTGTCGACCCTGCATGCCCAAGCTACCCCTTTCCAGGCTCCGAACCAGCAGCCCCAGGCCGCGGTCATGCCGGCCCCTCCTTCGCTGGGCGGAGTCCAGTATAGTCCTTACTATGCTGCTGCTGTGCCTGGTAGCGTGCCGTACAACGGGGGGCAGCCATTCAATCCCTATGGCATGCTCGTGCCGAGCTTCAGCAACCTCAGCATTGGCAGTGCCGTGCCACAGCCTTCTCAGGCCACGCAGCCTCAGCCTCATATCCCGACGCAGAGCTTCACTGGCTACGGTCCTCAGTACGGCCAGCCTGCTCCTCCTGCCCCTCGGCAACCTCTCCACGACAGCCAAGCCCGCGTGATTGCGAATCGTCGCCAGCAGGACAGTGAGGGTAAGTAACTTTGTTTCTATTTTGATTTGCAGTCTTGCCGAGTTGGCTAACAATGTCGAAGCGATGTCACGCTACCAGAACATGACGTTGGAGAAGGCTGAGGGCAACATCAACAGCCTGGCCAGAGATCAGCACGGCTGTAGGTTCCTGCAGAAGCAGCTCGAGAACCGTATTCCTCACGAGGTCCACGCCATCTACCGGGAGGTCTTGCCTCACGTTCACGAACTCATGATCGATCCCTTTGGCAACTACCTCTGCCAGAAGCTCCTCGAGTACTGTACAGACGACGAACGCACCGAGCTGATCAAGAACTCAGCCAAAGACATGGTGCCGATCGCGTTGAACCAACACGGTACTCGCGCCCTTCAAAAGATGATCGAACATGTGTCCAACGAGGTTCAGATTCAAATGATCACCGACGCCCTGAAGATGCAGGTCGTCACGCTGATCCAAGATCTGAATGGCAACCACGTGATTCAGAAGTGCCTCAACAAGCTCAGCCCCGAGCAGTCTCACTTCATCTTCAACGCTGTCGGGGAGAACTGCATCGACGTGGGCACTCACCGTCACGGTTGCTGCGTCCTCCAGCGGTGCATTGATCATGCCAACGGCCAACAGAAGGCCTGGCTCATCCAATGCATCACCAACAATGCGTACCGCCTGGTCCAGGACCCCTTTGGCAACTACGTGATTCAATACATCATCGACCTGAACGAGCCTAGCTTCACCGAGCCCCTCGTTGCCCAGTTCCGCACCCACATTCTGACGCTTTCCAAGCTCAAGTTCAGCTCCAATGTGGTGGAGAAGTGCCTTCGCTGCTCCTCGGAACAGTCCAAGAACATGATCGTCTCGGAGCTTCTGGATGCCGGAAGCGAGATTGAGCGCTGCCTCCGCGACTCATATGCCAACTATGTCTACCAGACGGCCCTTGACCACGGCACCAACGACATGAAGCAGCGCCTCGTCGACTTGATCCGCCCTCATCTTGCCTCGATTCGCAACACACCCTATGGTCGCCGCATCTCGGCCAAGATCTCGGCCTTTGACTCCAGCGGGATCAATGCCAATACCCCCAATCAGCCGACTGTCCCTGCTGACCACACGGGTGGCCAGGTGTCTATTCGTCCTGCCCACCAGCGCGGCATGTCCAATAGCACCAACAGCACGACGAGCACATTCCACGGATATGCTCCGAATGGTGTCAACGGCGCCAACGGCAACGTCAACCACGCCGCTGCCATCACGTACCCAGGGGGCCCGAGCCAGGCCCCGCCGCAGCCGCCCCGCGGTCAGCAGCACCCGCACCAGTTCCCTTCCGGACAGGCGGACAACAACTGGCTCTAAATCATCAGCACTGGGGTGTGTTTGGGATCATGGATGGATGATGGGTGTTTCTTATGGAGTTTGGTCTCTTACTTTTCTCTGCTACACTAGTCACGACAGCATGATGAGTGCTATGACCGTCACGACCCCTTTCCCTTTTGCACTTGTTGTTTCAGTAACAACGACTGACACGGCACTCCCTCTTCAGCGGGCCCTCTTTGAAGCTCTGCTGTGTTGTACACTATCTGCGCGACAGGGAGGATATCAGTGGAGGTGCGGTGGTTTTAGAAGGCTTTGTTTACAGCCTCGTTTCATTTCTTATGGGGTATCGGTCTCTTTTTTTCTTTCTTTTCTCGGTTCTCTGGCCTCGGCAGCCAGCCGTTGCTATTCGATCCGTCACCTTTGGCCTATTCTCGGGTGGTTGGCGCTCACGAGCCAAGTCGATTCCGCGACAAACAGCTCTCATCGAACATCTATACGCGTTCAAGATTCAGTCCTTTGCACCATCTTGCGTATACTGGGGCTCCAGAAGCAGGGAGTCTGGATATCACTTGGGGTTATCTGGGTATCTCTGTGGATATTCGGCCTTGGGAGTTCTGGCGGCGGCCACAGCTTTTGTTTGCTATGATTTACGGGGGAGGGGGGGATTGATGTTGCTTCAGAAAGGCGAAAGGGAAATTGGCTTTTTTGTTTGTTGTATTTTTGGTAGTGTACACTTTTTTCTTTTCTTTTCTTTCTTCGGCTCTTTTGATTCGCTCAAGAGGGTCTGATCTGCCGACATTACTCCGGATCCTTCCGCAAGGCTCTGGTCTCCTTTATTTGGGGGCACACTGTTTGAGGAGGGAGGAGGGGATGTTTGGTGGAGGAAAAGATTGTTGGGGTGGTGGACATGACTTTAGCGGTGATTAGGGGTGCTAGGATTGGGGCTTGGGCTTGATCTGGGTGTCTTTAGTTAGCTGGAAGGGTGGACACTATAACCTAGCGTATAGCGAATTGTTTTTGTATTTTACTTTTTTGATGATGCCTCCTGTGACTTGTGATCTTGATGCCTTGGTGGTTGTTGTCGTAATACTCGTAGCTGACAAGATTAAGAGCTCTGGATGTTGAGGTGAGGTGGTCTGTGCGTAGGTTTGGTTTAATTGATTTTTGGCGGCCGAGTCGCGCGGCGCGTCATCCAGACGCGTGCTTTTCCGGAGCCCACCTTTTCAAGGCTTCCTTCCACCTGCACTTTCTAGTATTCTACCTCAACTCTCTCCGAACAACTACCATCAAGCACAACAATTGATAGTAGTAGAAATTTGATCAAGCAAGATGGCGCTCATTGTCGACAAGCACCGGCCCAGAAGTCTAGATGCTTTGACATATCATGATGAATTGTCTGATCGACTCCGTTCTTTGGTTTGTTTCCTCTCCCCTCCCCCTTTTGCAGCGACAATATCATCTAACTTTTTTTTGTTTTTGTTTGTGTGAATCTGCAGGCTCAATCAGGCGACTTCCCCCACCTCCTCTTCTACGGCCCTTCCGGAGCAGGCAAAAAGACTCGCATCGTCGCGACGCTCAAGGAGCTGTACGGCCCCGGTGTGGAAAAGATCAAGATTGACGCGCGGGTCTTCCAAACGAGCTCGAACAGGAAGCTCGAGTTTAACATCGTCGCGAGCGTGTACCACCTCGAGATCACGCCGTCGGACGTGGGGAATTATGACAGGGTGGTGGTTCAGGACTTGCTGAAGGAGGTGGCGCAGACGCAGCAGGTTGATCAGAGCGCGAGGCAAAGGTTCAAGGTTGTGGTGATTAATGAGGCGGATCACTTGACGAGGGACGCGCAGGCTGCGCTGAGGAGGACGATGGAGAAGTATAGTCCGAATTTGAGGCTGATCTTGGTTGGGGAGAGCACGGCGGGGATTATTGCTCCGATTAGGAGTCGGTGTTTGCTTGTTAGGGTTGCGAGGCCGACGGTGGGGGAGGTGGAAGGGGTGTTGAGGGGGAGTTGTGAGAGGGAGGGGTGGGAGGTGAGGGAGGGGTTGGTGGGGAGGGTTGCGAGGGAGAGCGGGAGGAATTTGAGGAGGGCGTTGTTGATGTTGGAGGGGGTTTATGCGCAGAAGTGAGTTCTTTTTTTCGGGGGGGAGGGGGGCGAGATATAAGGGGTGGATTGGGGAGCTGACAAGAGAAAAACAGTGAGAAAGTGACGGACGACACACCGATCCCGCCCCCGGATTGGGAGGGACTGATTGAGCAGATTGCGCAGGAGATCATGGCTGAGCATACCTCCGCGAGGATCCTGCAGGTGAGGAGCAAGCTTTATGACTTGCTCACGCACTGCATCCCGCCGACGACCATCTTGAAGACGTTGACGTTTAAGCTGATGCCGCTGATTGATGATGATTTGAAGCCGGAGGTGATCAAGTGGAGTGCGTTTTATGAGCACAGGATAAAGACGGGGACAAAGGTGATTTTTCACTTGGAGGCGTTTGTGGCCAAGTTTATGAGGATATTGGAGATGTATTTGATGAGTATGGATATGTAGGGGGGGGGGGGGTGATGCAGGGAAGAGGACAAGAGCAGAGGGAGTTTGGCGTCTTAGGAGTGTATAATTGGGGCATGCCTGAGCTCAGAGACAGCCAGGCAGTCAGTTTACAAGTTAATACTCATTTGGAGCATCTTTGAGATACGTTGCTGGTGGTGTTGTGATAGCTGATGGAGGTGAGGCTTTAAGATCCAAGGAGGCATTCGATAACATAATATTGACAAATGGATTGGTTAAGAACAAGGCGGCGGTGGTCTTCGTGGCATCATTGCCGGCTAATTGAATTGCTATGGCGACGGTATGGGGTTGATGAGATTCAGGTTGACCAAGATGGGCTTTTTCTCGCTCTTCAAGATAATCTCACAACTCTGATACAAAATAGAGCATCCAATTCCAATATCACCATCTCTTGTACCTCCAAGAGCAGCATCATCATCATCATCCATCTCCAACTCTCCCAACCCTGACCTTGAACTTGCAAAGACCAGACCCCACATTGTTCTCGGCCCCCGGGCAGCAGGCGGGCTGGCCCTTGCGTTAGCTTGTGAAGTCTGATTGGCCAGATGCTGACAAAGAGTGGGGTCGAATCGGTTTGGCATGCATCATTGCCGTGTGCCAAAGCGAACAAGGGTGGGTGGGTAAGTGTGCATTTCCAATTGTTCCCCCAATTCAGCCAGAAAACGCGTTTCGTGTCCTCTTTGAATGGTGAGGAAGTGTATTACGGCAAAGACTCTAACCACTTGTACACACACCACGAAAAGGGCATCACTCCCACAGCGAACACCCGATAACGACGGAGCGAGTTGGTTTGCGCCGCAGTCGGTTTGAGAAAACTTCCGAAGTTCCGGAAGAACAGGTGGTTGGATTTTAGGGAGCTGGGGAACCGAACCTGCTACGAAGAAGGGGCGACGAACGAACGAAACAGGAGATCGATCAACGATAACGCAAAACGAAGACGAGAGAAGACGAGAGAAGACGACCAAACAGCGGCAGGGCTGATAACAACAGTGTTGATAGTTGGGAAATTGATCGGGGATTGTTGTTGAAAAGAGAGACGGGCACGCCCCCGGAGAAGCTAGGATTGAGCTCCCTTCGCGATGTCGCTCAACATCTTTCGCGTGCTGGGTATGCATACCCTTCCGAGTAGTCGTCGGCTAGAGGGAGAAGGAACACCCGGGCTAATAATGCGATGTGCTTTCACAGGAGATTTCTCCCATCTCGCCTCCATTTTCATCTTGCTGCACAAGATCCAGCAGTTGAAGGTATGCTCCCCCCCCCCCGGGTCATTGACAGTGACGATAGGTGGTGTGGCTGATATTGGAAACAGAGCTGCTCGGGTATTTCTTTCAAGTCGCAGGTTCTTTACATGCTGGTTTACATTACTCGATATCTCGGTATGTCTCCCCTCCTTTTCCCGTTTCCACCTTGGGGGGATAATGTTGACTGATAGATGGCGCAGACCTCCCCTGGACCTCCTCCCCTTACAACTTCATCTTCAAAGTCCTCTTCATCTCCTCAGAGCTCTACATAATCTACCTCATGGCCCGGGCCTACAAGCCCACCAACGACCCCAACCTCGACACGTTCCACGTCGAGTTCCTCCTCGGCTTCGCCGGCCTGCTCGCGCTCTTGTTTCCGTACAAGTACACGATCCTCGAGGTGTTTTGGGCGTTTTCCATCTGGCTCGAGTCGGTGGCGATCCTGCCGCAGCTGTTCATGCTGCAGCGGACGGGGGAGGCGGAGGCCATGACGGCGCATTATATTGCGGCGCTGGGGATGTACAGGGCGCTGTATATCCCGAACTGGATCTATCGGTACTTTAGCGAGCCGACGCACAAAGTGGACACGATCGCGGTGACGGCGGGGATTTTGCAGACGATTTTGTATAGTGATTTCTTTTGGATTTATTATACCAAGGTTATGAGGGGGGAGAAGTTTAAGTTGCCTGTTTAGGGCCAGCAATAACCGAGGATATGATGGAGGGGATTGCAGGAGGGGGCGAAAGAGACAAGTTGGGGGTGATGGCAAGAGGGAAAGTTAACGAGAGGAGGATAAGAAAAATGCAATGGCCTATGAGATACGGACACTTGGGTGGGCGGGCTGGCGTTAGGCGGGGGGGGGGGGGGGGGGGAAGAAAGTGTGGTTGTTTTTTTTACGTGTATGGGGTGTAATTCAAATGCTGGTTGGTTTTAAGGATAACGGGAATGACTGACAAGCGGCCGGCGTGTTGTGTGGTCGACAAGTATGAATATCCTTTTTTGCTTTTTCACATTGTATATAACAGTAGGGGTATATTGCGGGCAGGTGGTCAAGGGACCGAGACTTAAAATGGAAAAGCTGACTGGTTTGGGAAGAGGAGAGTGATATATGGGTGTGTTCGAGAACAAACCGGGTAGTGCAAATGCCGATGGTGGTGGTCTTTGGTTCGCATGATGGTGGTTGGTGGTTGGTGGTGGTGGTGGTGGGGGAACCGAACCCCTGGGCCAAGAATGGGGTGTTGGTGGGTGAGGAGGTTGTTACCAGGTTGGTTTATGGATGTGCCGTGTGGTTGAGACGAGGAGGGCTTGGTAGAAGTGTCCTTGGGTGCTGGAAGATGAAGGATCTCGGTGCGAATTAGAAACCTCTTTCATGGCTACGCAGCACGGACTAGACTGCAAATGTTACAATCCTGATGAACTTGGCTCGGTGGGTGATGATGGTTTGGAAGTCTAGACATGGCCAGCATGCCATCTCGTCTTGTTGACCAAAAACCAGGGCATGAAGACAATTTTCTGGTAGCTGTTGAAGCACGGGGCAATATCTGAGACGTTGAAGCTCTTCCTCCCCCTGCATTGAGGGTCTGTGCGTGAGCTCGCTCCGGGTCACACCCGCCCCGAGGTGAGATCTGCGACTTCGAGGCTGCTGCCGCCAAGCTCTTTTGGCGTGTTGTAAGTCAACCGAGCTGGGAAGCTTCATCACGTCACATTTGCTTTGCTTGGGGTGAGTGAGGCATGAAGTTTTATCACTGCCCACCCACCCCTCCTCGCGGGTTTGGAGATTTTCTCTTTTCTTCCATTTTGCCTGAGTTGTGATCTTGGAGTTAGGCTGAATAATGATGGTCGACGACGAGATTTGCTGAAGTTGTTTCTGTTCTATTCTCATACCCGCCGGCGCGGTAGATTTTATACGTTCTTTTATACTGCAACAATTTTTTATTCTACAGGGGTTTTGTTTCTTGTTGATATAGATAGGTACCCGTCCCGCTACTTTCATTTAGCCAGACTGGATTTTGGCCATTCATTCTTTACACAACGACAAACGACACGAAACAAAACATTCGACGGGAACGGGAGAGAAAGAGAGGCAGAAGGAGATGGCTAAATCACGTCCACCAACAACCGGGTCACTCTCCCAATATCTGTTTCTCGCCCTTGGGGTATTATCAACAGCCACCCTCGCCGCCCCTCCCGCCCTCCCGCCAATACCGACCATAACCCCCCCACCAACCCTCCTTGTCCCCCGCCAAAACGACCCCCAAATCCAATCCCTCTCCCAACAACTCTCCGCCCTATCCCAATCCTCCCGCGAAATCTCCCAATCGTCCCAACAACTCTCCATTACGTCAGCCCAGCTGCTAAACTCAGTCCAGCAGCTCTCCTCCCGTCTCACCCAAACAGAACAGTCGGTCAATGCGCTCCGGCAGTCGGTGAACAACGCCGAGCAAGCCTCCCGCTCGTTATCACAGCAGGTAGCTGAGGTTTCGCGAAGCGCAGACCGCCAGATGAGTGAGCGGCTGCAGAGGGCGAGCATGACGATGGTGGAGAATATGAGCGCCATGTCGGTTCAGATGGAGAGCAGTTTCTCCCGGAGGCTGGCGCAAGCGTCTAGGAGCGCGGTTGCTTTGGCGCAGGGACGGGTTGTGCAGGAGGGGGAGGATAGGGGGTTGGAGACTGGGTCTGGGGTTCCCACCTCAACAGCGGTGCCGGAACCGGTGCAAGGGATGAGAACGGAGGTTGTGATTGGGGCTGTGGTTGGGGGGGTGTTGGGGTCGATGGTGTTGAGTGTGGTGGGGGTGTTTTTTGGGTTGAAGATACGGCAGCGACAGCAGAAGCAGGGGAGGTTGGGGCCCGGGATTGGGAGTGATGCTTTTTTTACCGGGGGGGGAGGGGGGAAGATCAAAGGGGGGAGTCCGAATATTGGCGCGCCGGTGCTGCAGTCTACGTCGAATAAGGCGTATGCTAGTGTGGGTTTGGGGCCGGGGGGATTTCAGGTTGGGGGGGAGAACAAGGAGAAGGATGTGGGAAAGAGGGTCAGTGATGTCAGTAGTGTCTACTCTTCTGACTTGGACGACGACGAAAAGGGGCTGCTTAAACAGCAGCAGCAGCCGTCACCTGCTACACTGGCAAGAAACGCGCCGGATCTGAGGAGGATGGTTTTGGAAAGGTCGGGGACTACCATCTCGAGAAAGTCGGTCGGGGGTCCAAAGGTTGGGTTCGCGATGAGTTATTACTCCCCTGACTCGACGACGATGCCACCACCTCCAAAGGCGGTCGGGACGGGGGTGATCAAGAAGGCAGGGGGGCATAATGATAATGATAATAATTCTGTGATGAAGGTTATGACGCCTACGGCAACGACGATTGTCAAGACGGGGGGGAACAAGACGAGGCAGATGATGAAGGGGTTTCAACTGAGTCAGCCGCCGCCGGGGAAGCTGAGTTTGTTCCCGAGGAGTGATGGGGGGAGTAGTGGGGGGAGTAGTCCTGTGGATGAAGAGGAAGGGAAGGGGACGCCGAAGAGGTTAGAGAGCTGGTTGAGGAGGGAGAGGGGGGTTGTTAGTCCGTTTGCTACGGCTGCTCCGGGGAAGAAGTGAGGGGGTTTTTGGTATTTAAGCGAGCGAGTAATTTATAGTGTCATGAATTATGAAGACTATTTCATCTTGCGTGCCCAGGGTTTCCTGTTGTTGTTTTTTTTTAAAAAAAATTTAATTTTTGTTTATTTTGTGTTTTTTTATTTTTTATTTTTTCCTCAAATTGTTATGAAGACTATTCAAAGTATTGGCTGATTTTGAGGGGATGGGCTTGTAGATGGTGAGCTGGAGTGTTAGTAGTGTCAAGAGGAGGGAAAGTAAACAAACCCCCTGGATTGTGGCAGGCCAACCAACGATGATCTGCAGAGAGATCTCTTGGCGTGGAGGACCCACCACTGAAGCTTGTCGTCCCCAGACCTTGGCATTTTGAATTATCCTCTGTGTGACGACGTGGAGGCAAGGATTCTTTGACGATTCAGAGAGACCATGATTGACTTCACGAATCGCTGCCAAAAAAAATAATAAAAACAACATCGCTGGTATCTGTCTTCCAAGGGCCACACACATGTAATGTATAAATGAACCACCTCTATCCAAAACATCCTACCTGGGCCCGCAAAGCAGCAGGTAATTCACTCTTGACATTCTTCACACCCCCATCTTCCAATTATTTTTCGCTGTTCCTTTCACCTTTGTCCCCGGGGGGTGCTCCCGCGTACCTTGGTGAGCTAATGTGATCCGGGCCCGCCCACATCCCGAACAAAACCGGACCATGGTCCGATGACGACTCCCCTCCCCTCCGCTCCGAAAGGAAAAAAAAAGAAGCATTCTTCCTTTTCGGAGAGCCTCTCCCCGTTCGTCTGTCTGTCCCCACAAGCTTGCGCGGTCTTGCGTCTTTCTACAACGGCGGCGGAGAAGCAGAGTGGGGACTTGCTTTTGCTAGTGGAAAGCTTGATTTGTCGTCTTCGCGTTCAGGGTCGTTCTATCTGAGGGTTTTTGAAGAGGCAGGGGGGTGTCGTGTGAGGTGATAAAAACTGCTCCCGGGAAGGGGACGGTTTGGGTTAGAGGAGGAGGAAAAGAGGTGGGATAGGTGTGGGGTGGTTGGTGATGGATGGGCTGGTGGTGAGGAGAGAGAGAGTGACGATTTTCTGAGACTTGGGGATTGAGTTTGATAGTTTGACCTGTTCTCCGGGACAGGCTAGCCGTTAGAGCGTGGGTTCCTGGGCTGCGTCCTCGGGTTTTGATCTGTTCTTCCTCTTATAGCTCAACGTTAGGCTCTGCTAGAGAAGCGCTCTGGAAGAGCCTACTGAGGCTCATCGCCTCGCAACTGCACTGACTCCCGCAGCTCTGATCAACCGCAAGGTTGACCCCCCCACCCGATGCTCACGTAGGGCAGCTCCGCCCGACACTGGGTCCCTGAGCTGCAAAACCCGGACATCTGGGAAGTTCCTGGCTGGGAGATGTCGGAGCAGACGGGAACTTTGGGGCCTAGAGAGATATCTTGACGACCATGCGGGGAACCAGAGGTTTCATCACTCGTGTGCTCTTACGCGTGTGGTTTCGCTGCGATGTGTCTCTGATGTTTAGTCTATATCCCCCACTGCATGGTCCTGCGCCGATTATCCTTTATGTTGACTCGCTGTTCCTCTCTACTTTCCCATCCCGAGTTTTTCTTCTCTATAGCTCTTTGTTTCATTAGTTTGTACTGTGATAGACACCAGACCAGCACGTCATGAAATCTTCTCTTTATCCTCCCGTATCTTTACCGAATCTATTGCTGGCCATTGTGCTCGTGGTAACGTCCTTCGTCCTCCTCTCGGCGACGATTCACCGGTCTTCCTACCTCCCTTCCGTTCCCTCTGTCGAGCCGCCCCCAGAGCGAGCATGGCCGATGGTATGGGCCTCCTACAGCAATGAACCCCCCGAACCAAAGTACTTCCAGGAAGCTGGCAACACCCTAGAAATGTCCCACTACGACATCCGCTTCTTCCAGGGCGTGATTCCGTATTCTCAACATCGTGAGGTCCTCCAGCACCTCATCCGATCATACCTCTCCATCATGGCCTCCCTCAAGATGGAGACCTGGATCGCACATGGCACATTGCTTGGGTGGTGGTGGAATGGCCGGATCATGCCCTGGGACTATGACCTCGACGTCCAGGTCAGCCTCCACACGATGGAGCACATGGCCAAGCAGTTCAACCAGACGCTGCATGAGTGGAGGTACACCACCGATGAGGGAGGGGAGGGTGTGCATGAAATCAAGAAGACGTATCTGTTGGACGTGAACCCAAACTACTCGGAAATGAAGAGGAGACAGGGAATGAACGTGATTGATGCCAGATGGGTTGATGTTGACACGGGCATGTTTGTGGATATCACTGCGCTAGCCGAGAGAAATCCAGTGTTGGAACCGGGGATTTGGAGCTGCAAGAACTTCCATCAGTATAGGACGCATAATATCTGGCCGCTGAAGGAGACAAGGTTTGAGGGGGTTAAGGCAAAGGTGCCTCTTGATCACGAGAGAATTTTGGTGGCGGAGTATGGGGAGAAGAGCTTGGTGTTGACCGAGTGGGAAGGGTAAGCTTGATCTCGAGGGATTCCCTAGGACAAAGCTGACATTCAACGCAGACACCGCTGGAGTGAGGAATTGAAGGAGTGGGTGAGGATATCAGTGAATGATACGGTGAACAGCTATGGATCTGGGTAGAAGTGAAGTGAGGAAACAGTTTGGATTTGATGCCTTGGATATGTGACTTGTTTGACAGGCGCTAGGCGTTGGGCGTTTGCTTGGATACCACGTGACGAGGGCAAGAGGCTGGCTTTTCGCCAAAGTTGGAAGAGATTTCTTGGGCAGGTGAAGAACGAAGATTGATACGTACTTGAAATCTGGGCCCCGCAGGGTGAACATCTGGAGTGAACATCTGGAGTGAACATCTGGAGTGAACATCTGGAGTGAACATCTGGAGTGAACATCTGGAGTGAATATCAGGAGTGAATCGCAGCCCCTTGATTTCCTCTCCCTCCCAGCCCCCCCCCTATCAACCTCCCAACCTCCCCTGGAGCAACAATCTCATCAAGAAAAGTCTTTGCAATGATAGAGCACTATATACTAGATTGAGTCGCTCCTAGGTGGGTCTTCTACTTTGTAATCTGAGGTTGCAGGGCTCCTCGAGTGGAGAAAAGTGCCCCTTTCTTACCTTTCACCTCATCACTAGTGCCTTCCTCTCCTGCTTCTGACCACCTGCCTCAGGTGGAGTTTCCCATACTCACTCCTGCCTAATATTCAGGAGACAAAGAACAGCCAGTTCATCAGATAAGGCAATCAGGCCCACAATTACCTCAAGTCGCTGCAGCCAGCCGACGGCTCCCCAACTCGAGTATATGTTCTACACCTCTGTTCCCCGAACCTCCTCCTTCTTTCTTACCTCGGGCATCCCTCTCACAATCAGTCAGCTCTCGAGAGACAGATAGCCCGGTCAACAGCTTTTATCGCTTACTTCTCGTTCCACCATCTCCTCACACATCTCCTCCTCTTACACCTTGTTCACCTTCGACACTCAATTCTTCGGCATTCCAGTCACTCCCGTCGACCTTTTATCCATCAACCATCATCTAATTCCATCAAAGAGTCGACAGTCGATAGTAAATAGTCAACATGGTCGGCAACAAGATTCGCTGCGAGAACGGCGGCGAGTGGAAGGCCAGAGAGAAGTTTTCCCACAGTGCCCTTCGCAAGTACCAGAAGAAGTTGGGCAACGGCATTGCCACCCCTGCCCAGTCGACTATCTCGTGTCTCGAGCACAGCTCTGGCAACAAGGCGCCCGAGATGAAGTGTGAGGGACCCTGTGATCGCTGGCGTGAGCTGGACTTTTTCAGCAAGTCCACCCGCCGCAACAAAGTCTACGTATGTATTCACCGTCCATGGTTTTTTTTTTTGGGGGGGGGGGGGGGTGGGGGGAACCTAAGTCCTTGTTCACCAGCACACCTTGACGATACGAGAGGGGCCAAATGGCTGTGTGTAGCGAACTGACTCTTTTTCATCATAGTATGGCCTGCGGAGAGTGGTCAGTTTCACGGGTTGTTGACCTCATCAACCGCTTCAAGGAATCAAGCGCAAGGTTCATTGTGGACGGGCGACCCTTTGGTTTACAACTTTTCGGAGGGTCCAGGTTGGGGCTGAAAATGGGATTTCGTTCGGGGAACAGACAGGCGACTTCTTTCTTTGTTCCCTGGATGGGTCTAAGCCTTGGGCCATATGGAAATTTCCTGAAAAAGCTGGAT